GCAGTAGGGTTCACCAATGGGCAAGCAATATGCAAACTGAATTGGCATATTGGAGTCTCTGAGTGTGAGCCTGCTGTCCGTGTATTAATTCATTCCAATCCCCATTCTCACTCCCATTCCACATTCCCATTCCCCAGTCGCTATCCGCCAAGGCCAGCAAATGAGCTCAATGTGGGCATGTAGCTTGGAATACACCAAGCTAGGATGTCTCACTAAGCCTTCCCTACGGAGGAATTCACAGATATAAGACATCAGTCTATTGTTTGAGTTAGTCGAGGAATAAATGAAGGACTATTTGTTTGCTTCCTCTTAACTGAAACATTAGAGGATATGGTCATGTCACTGAGCTAGCCAGAATAGAAAAATAGAGGACTAAACTTAACGAAAACTGGATGTGCATTCATCAACTTTATTCAACCCTCTTTTACAATACAGCAGTTATATTGCATAGTGCCCAAGCACAGTAAGGATTATGCCGCTAATTTTGAATCAAAGTTTATATGCTACTTATACAATTAAATAAGTGAAGTGAGAAGTAAACATATTTAGGTGTTAGTTAATCCTGAATTCATTTTCCTTATCTTATTTTCTTATCATTATACATTTATATCATAAGATTATCTTGCCAATGCCTTTTTCTTCTTATTCTATATAATATGACAATTTGATGCTATCATTAGTTTCACCATTGTCATCCATATAATAACATTTATCTGTTAGCATTTGCAAATGTATACAGCATACAATATATCAGAGTGTAATATCAGATCAGTAATCTTTCTCGCTGTCGTTGTCACCTTCCCCATCGTCCTTATTGTCGCCAAAACAGTCTTGGGTCAATGGCGATAGGGACAGTAGAATGACCATGGTGATGCTCATGACTGCCATGATCTTCCGTAGCGTCATGGATATGGGTTCCTTTGTGGCCATGACCGTGGTGCTCCTCTTCGTGTCCATAGCTGTTATCATCCCTGTTAGAAAAAAAGGAAAAAAAAAAATTGGGAACATTCAAGAGCTCTTTTTCTCTTACTCTCTCTTTCTACGTGTCCCCCTCTCTCTATGTAGCTCTCCCTCTCTCCCTCCCTCATCACCCTTCTATGACTCTTCCACTCTCTCTCGTCACCCTTTCTCTGACTCTCCCAACCTCCCTCATCACCCTTCTCTGACTCTTCCATCCTCTCTCTTCCCTTACCTCTTAATTCGAGCAAGGGGCTGTTCCTTTGCCTCCCTAGCAGCTCGGAGGGCAGAGCCATGCCTCCCTGGGGCAGAGAAGCCGTAAGTTGCCCCCATCACAACCACGAGAACAGTTGTTGCAATGACAGTTCTGTGATGCAATAACATAGCTGGTTATTTTGGCGGTAATGATGTAGTGATGATAATGATGCTGATTGCCATGGAACAATAAGAATAGTCATATTACCAGATGGTCGATAATAGTAGTGTAGAATAACAAGTAATAACTCATGATGCTATGATATACCAATGAAAATGATATAAAAAACATACACATATATATGTACATACTACATACATGAACACACTCACATATATATGTATGTATATACATTTGTATACATGTATACACACAACAAAAAAAATATATATATATGAATTAACATAAATATATATATATATATTATATATATATATATATATATTATATATATTATCATGCATATATTGTAGAGTCACTGTTCAATTATGCTTATACCTGTGACTCGTACTGTTATGATGTATTAAGTCTCATAAAGTATATGATACTGATTAACAGCCTAATGACTTGAATGTAATGACGAATATAGATCAGTGAAAATAAATCACTTGAAGCAAAATTACTCTTACGTTATTTGGAGGATAAAATGCACACATGTACAGTATTATACATGCACATGTGAATATACATGTGCAGTATCCATATATATGTATGTACAACTGCTTTGTGCGTGTGCATTTACGTATACACACACAAAACAACCAAGCAAACACACGCAGACACACACACACACACACACACACACACACACACACACAGACACACACACACACACACCACCACACACACACACACACATAAATATATATATATATATATATATATTATATATATGTTATAAAATCAGTCTTATAACTGGAAAAAAAATCAACTGTCAGGACTCCCCGCATTCTAGACCAAGTATCTCTGAGTGCCATTTAAACGCTCTTTGTCTAAATCTACATCAGTATTGCATCCAAACTTTAATCATATTAAAATAACTTCCCGCAAATTCATGTCTATCTCATATAAATTGCCTGAATACTAGAGATCGACATAAATACATTAGTTTTCACACGTGGGTTTGAGGTTTACTTTAACACTTATATACTAAATTCACCCAAGTTTTGAATCGCAAACTTTTAATTCTAGGATCTCTTGAAACTTACTTCATGCTGGCGATCCAACTTCGGAAGAATGAGCGGGAGAGGGAGACAGTGCGACTTTTATAAGACCTCAGATGCTTTTATAACACCTCGTGTGCTTTTATAACACCTCATGGGCGTGGTTTTCTGAATCATTTTATTCTTATTTTCTGACAAACGGTTTTGCAATATCGCTCGCAAGTTTTATGAACGCACACATGTACGTATATGAATAAATGGGAATGTGTGTGTATTCATTTTTATATTACATATATGTGTGTAAATATACATATGTATATTCATTTATTTATGCAAACATATTTATATATGTATATATACATATATACATATGTATTTACATATATATGCTTGTGTGTATGTGTGTGTGTTATATATATAGAGAGAGATAGAAGGATAGGGAGGTAGATAGATATCTATATATGTTATATATACATATATATATAAATATATCTATCTATCTATCTATCTATCTATCTATATATATATATATATATATTATATTATTATATATATATATTTGATTAAATGTTTATAATATAAATGTGTACATATATGTATGTACATACAAATAAATATAATCATATATGTATATATATAATAATTTATGTATATATACACACACAAATGTACAAATCAGTATAAGCATATACTTATATTTTCATATACATTAATTCATATATCTATATATTTGTTTAATTATTTATTTATTTATTTATGTATATATACTCACGCGCACACATAAGCGAGTGTGTGATTCTCCTCTTATTGATCATGTGGCAAATATCTCTCATATGTCACCAACTGTTAGAATGCTTCGCCACAACTATATGATCAGTAAGTTGGATATTCTGTAACTCCCTCTATTATGCTTTGCCAAATCATCATCTAAGGAGCTGCAAAATGTCATGAATAGAGTAGCAAGAATTAGAAAAGGCCAAACTCCACGCGAGAAGATAACGCCAGAAAGCACTGCTGTCCGATGGTTGAGGCAAGAATTGTCGATAAGATTTACCTTCTGACTTCCCAAGCTCTCAGATTTAGGAAAGCAGGGTGTGTGGGCTGCCTGTCGAGAGATTATCATGGAAATACTCCTATGGGATTTAGACACAGTGCTGAGTAATGTACAAGGTGGACGAGCCAAGAAAAAAAAACTTCATTATTTATTTTAGATAATTTGTAAAGCATCAAGGTATTATGATGGGCTATCACATGTCAGGAACAGTAATTACTCTTTGAAGAAGAAGAAGAAGAAGAAGAAAAAAAAACGGAAAGAAAAAAAATAACTGTTTGCTGACACGTTATGGTATGGATGGTGTAAGAATCAAAAATGATTCTCGCATGTGAAGAGATCAGGGTAAGGTCTAGAGAAGGGCTGTCAACCTCATTTATCCCAGGGAGCCACATTTTGCCATAGTATACAGTATGTTGGACAGATAATCATGAATCGACGCAATGGAACGGCCATGTGGTTGACGTAAAAACATCGGAGGCATTTCATTCATTAAAAAAGGAAAACACAGTAACAAAGAGAGAGAGAGAAAATGGTGTGTGATAATTTTAATCGAAGGAAAGGCTTAATTAATCATGTAAAACACCCGATTTGAAAACTGAAATAGCAAATGCGCCGCACAAAGAAGTGGTGTAGAATTCTCTTGACGTTAGCTCTTGACCTTTTTATGTGTATATACATGTGTGTGTGTGAGTATGCATACTATAATATTTGTGTATATATACATATAAATATGATATATATGTTATGATTATTATCAGCATTTTTGTTATTTAATTTTCATTTCTATTTTTCATTTTCATTATCATTATTCTTATCATTTTCATTTTATTTGTTAATGCTATTATTATCATCCTTGTTATAATCATCACCATTATTAGTTTTTACTTTTTATCATTACTTCTTGTTTATTGTTATTGTTATCTTGATTATCATTATGATATTCTTGATATTATGGTTATCATTATTGATATTATTGATATCATCATTATCATTAACCCTACTTTTTTCATTAATATCATCAATATTGTTATCATCATTGTTTTAATTATCATCATCATTTTTAAACATTGTTATTTCTTATCATTATCAACATTATTGTTTCTTAATTTTATGATACCGTTGCTGTTATTATTATCAATATCATATACCTAATCGTGTTATTTTATTACTATAATTATTCTTATGATTATTATTAAAGTTACCATTATTATCATTATCATCACTATCGTCATTTTCATTTTATAACATTATTGTTATTTTCATCATAATTACTGCTATTTTTATTTGTTATCATGATTACCACTGTTGCTGTCTGTTGCATTATTGTTTATGTATATGTATATATGCATTTATATATGTATCAATGCATGTATCAATGTATATATTATTACATACACACACATATATGTATATGTATATATATATATATATTATAGTATATATATATTATATATATTATATATATATACTATATATATATATATTAGTCGACAGGGCGAGGAAATACTAGCGTCATCACTTAGGCTCCTCGCCTACTCTCTCATCTTAACTGAACAAGCATCTAGGAGCATAGTTTCAGCCAAGCTCATGATCTACTCTATACTATTGTGGCTCAGCCAAGTAATTGAGAATAAACTCCAATAGAGGACTACATATCCTCATCCACCTTATAACGCCGATAAGAACATTGTCATGCGCCTGCACTTCATACTTGCTACGTCCAGCCACTCTCATACTTCTTCATCTCTTCTTCCTACAATATCTCACGCAGTTGGTATTGCATAGTGCCCACCCAGCACGATGAACCATAATACCATAGCTGCTCTCACGCCTAGATTTCCTGAATCCTCAACTTATATATGCACCTATTACAATATAAATAAGATGAAGGTTTTTCTATAGTATGTAAGAGACTCCCCCAGTATCCTCTCTGGCGCCTCCTCACTCCTCTACTCACCTCTTTGCCTTGACCACAGTGTGAGCTTCTTACATCTAATCCGTACTATCCATAGAGACACCTCTATCACTGCAACATGCCTCTTCTCTTCCATTATTCACTATATAATCCCATGACAATTTCGACTCAGTCTATCAACTTTAGTACTCTCTCCACCATTGTCATTCTCATATTAATTAACATTTATCTGTTAGCATTTGCAAGACATCCTGCTGAGTACAGTGCATACCCAAGTGACTGCAGTGTGTAAGTATTCAGTCTGTGAATCTTTTCTCGGCTGTCGTTGTCACGCTTCGCTCTATACAGTGGCTCTGTAGCGTCCGTGCGATGGGCCTTCATCATATCTATACAATCCACGGTGCCCCTCTCTTCCATCGTGCTCATGTCTGCCCATCATCGCTCGCTCCTCATGCTGTCATCATGACGTCTCTCACCATGGTGCCCGCTCGTCATCTATACATCTATCATGGTGCTCATGGCTTCACTCATAGTGCTCCTGACTCACCAGTGTTCTGACATACTGTTCATGCTGTCATCATCGTTGCTCAGCTGCGACTTATCTTATAATCTTCTATCAGGAGAATCCCGCGACTCCTCGTATACGATAGGCTACTCTCAATCATATGCCCACTACGCCCAGTAATACGGAAACTGCTAAGTAGAACATACATATGGCTCGCGCTCCGCATCTATCTCTTCCCTCCTCCTTCACATACCGTCTCTATCATGTACTCTCTACGTAGCCCTCCGATGCTAGTGATGGTATCTCTCCGTATATCCAGCCCGACAATAGACTCCTCCTCCTTCTGTCACTCCTCAGCTCTATACTTGGCTGCTCTCGTCTCTCCTCCCTTCCTCTCCGTCTCAATGTCTATCGCGTGAGTGCGTTTCCAGAAGAGATATATTCTCTACCTCTCTTCGTGCGCGTTCTATAGAGTCGCTGCGATGATCTAATCTGCGTATGCTCATAGCTCTCTCTCTCTCATATCTCTCTTTTCTCGACTCGATCACTGTACTCTACCTCTCTATCTATATCCAACGTGCTCAAGAACTCTTTCGTGTGCTTCCCCTTCTGTGATACTGATCGTGCTCATGCGCTGTCAGTGCAATCGTTGCTCGATGGCTGTCTATCATTGGTCACTCCAGTTCGCACATACACATCTCTCAGTGATGTCTCCGTTCTCTGCTTACGTGATTTTCTCGTCCTATATCCATCCGCAATGCAACCACTCCAATTAGGGAGGCAGGTTCTACACCTGTCTTTCCTTACCTCATCTCTCCTCCTCGCACCGTAGTGCACTCCTCATATACGCTAATCTCGAGTCTCCCCTCACATACGACTCATGCCCAGCGCTTAGCGGTCTATGTATCGACTCTTTCTCTTGGCGTATCAGTCTATATAATATAGCGCTTATCATAACACTTCTCCTCTTCTATCAAGCGAATAGACTTCCTTCATCCACGTCTCTCACAGTCCTCCCCTCCACCACTCCAGAACAAGCTAATATCAATAAAACTACCTAGTATATATGCGGAACCAACCTCACCTCTATGTGTCAAGCTTGAAGTTTATCCAACACCTCTTCTCTCCTCAATATATTCAGATATACTATTCACTATCATCATACTCTCCTTTCAAGACTTCTAATGCCCATTCTCTCTTTTTCTACATATATAACATACAACACATCCAGTGTGCCTCCCTCTATGTGCAGCTTATCCATCAAACTTTTATCCCTTCTCTCGCCCGCCGTCCCCTTCTTCCCCATCCCTCACCATCACCCTTCTCTGACTTCCATCCTCTCTCTTTCCTTACCTCTTAATTCGAAGCAAGGGCTCCTTTGTGCCTCCCTTAGCAGCTCGGAGAGGGCAAGCCATGCCTCCTGGGCACAGAGAAGCCGTAAGTTGCCCCCATACACAACCACGAGAACAGTTGTTGCAATGACAGTTCTGTGATGCAATAAACATAGCTGGTTATTTTAGCGGTAATGATGTCATATGATGATAATGATGATTGCTCATGGGAGCAATAAAAAATAGTCATTATTACCAGATGGTCTGAAATAGTGAAGTCCGTAGTAACACAGTAATGGACTCTAATATGTGTAACACA